ACCCTTCCGCAGAATGTAACCCAAACACATGCACTCTCCAAGGATATGGCTGGCACCTACACCGTGGACGCTAACCCACTGCTTCCTGTGGAAGGACTCTGTGAGAGAGAGCAGGACGGCACACTGCCCTGTAGATCACGGCACCTGCTAGTCCACGGAACCACCTTTCCTCCCTGGGACTTCCTGGAGGACCTCAGTTTCAGTTTGATTCTTCAGATTTCATCATTTCCCATGAGATAGAAGCTGAGAACTGATCTGTTTTCTTTTCTGAAAAGCAGTGTGCTTTTTTACTTGTTGGGTGTTTTCAGTTTTGCTGTCATGTCCTCCTGCCTTCCTGGGAATCTACATGACTTCATGTTTGTTTGTTATTTGCTTTTACTAAGTTAAGATTTTCCATACTCTGAATTCTGAATTGTTCCTAGGCTTAATAGCTATTTTTAACCACTCTGCTCTTTTACCACACTGAAGGTTTATTAAGTAACCCACACCTATAAACAAAGTGACACCTAAGATCCTATTTTCCCCTATTATCTGCTTGGAGTTCCTGGTGAGGAGGCAGCACAGTATTCCTTTCAATTCTGCTATATGGATTTAGATGCAAGGAAGTGAGGACAGAGGTCTAAAAGGTAGCTGGGAGTCCACAGAGGTAGCAACATATGGTTGGTAAATGGAGGAAGCCAGGAGCTGGCAGGACCACAATATGGCTTTTACATCAACATTTGAGGTGCCTGATATCCAGAAACAACATACATGGCACCTGCTTGTGCCCTGGGTCAGCTTTCAGAGGCCCTAAGTGTCATGCTCACTTCTATCTCAGGCAGAAATATGGGGAGTGACCAGTGACATACAACTGGGTCTGGCCAAGATGATGGAGAAACTACAGGAGCACAGAGGAGTCACCTCACTTATGACCTCATGCCTGAGGCACCATACTTGACATCTGTAACTCAGGGGAGGAAAAGTTGATTAGGGCTCATAATTTATAGAGTTTTCAGTCCATCATCAGCCAACTCCAAGGCAGAAGTGCAGAAGGGAAGGGCCTGGTGGGAGGAAAGTTATATATCCTAAGTCTTACAGGAAGCTGATGATGAAGGGCACTCCAGGAAGGAAGATACAACCTGCACTATCACAAGCAGCGAGCCTGTACTTCCTGAATGGCTCTCCTCCTAGGAACAGGACAGCTGTGAGCTCCCACCTGCATTCAGCTTCCAAAGGTTCTGCCTATGACCCCATGGGCTGTTAGGGTGAAATATAGGTTAAACCATAACGGGGTCCTGAATCACAGGGAGATGGCAAAGGTCCCGCTGTCAGCACTGAAGTCCTCAAGAAGGGGTGACATGATGGACGACTGCTGGCTTCTTTTGAGAACACTGGAGATTTCAGGGAACTGAAGGACTTGTTCTGAGATGTTATCTGCGAGGTCCTCTAACTGGTGAGGATATCTGAGTCTCAAGATCTGCTAAAAGTCAGGTGAGGAACCTATAGGAGGATTGACAGTAATGCTGCCCAGGACACACATGGTGAGTGCCGTGCAGACATCTTTCCTGAGCCCTTGGCCATCCCCAGAATTCTGAGCTTGGTTGTCAGGGTGAGGCTTCTCTCCTAGTTCTGAATCATTGGTCTCAGAGAGCTCAAGGCCTTGGTACAAGAGGGCTGAAATCAAGGCAGCATAAGTAGGATTGCAGAGATAATCAAGGGGCTAGGGGAGGTAGAGGTAACCCACTCTCCTGAACACACCATATACACCCTCATGGTATTTCTTTGTCTTCTGCTGTCAAACCAAGGAAACATAAGGACACTGGATTCCCCTCACTTTTACTTAAAATGTTGGCATAAATAGTGCTCAGGTTTCATTAAGGAAGGCCTGGATCATCCAAAGGAGAATCTCAGACCTAAAAGTTTTTCCAGGGGCTGGGGATTTAGCTCAGCGGCACAGCGCCTGCCTGGCAAGCGTGAGGTTGTGAGTTCAATTCCCGGTACCAGAAAAAAAAAAACAAAAATGAACAAACAAATAAAAATAAAAATAAAAATAAAAGTTTCGCCAGACAAGGAAGGATCAGGTTCCTATTCCTAGGCCACATGGACCCAAATTATTTCTTCCATCTCCACCTGTTGCCCCAAGGAGCTTGGGCCTGTGTGTCTCTCCTCCACTCCCTTTTTTTCCCTATCAAGTGAAGAGACCCTTTTCCTAGGCGTTTACCTCAGGCCAGAAAAGGACTGGGGTCCAGGCACTGCTCAAGACAGTTGAGGACTTTGAGTGAGCACAAAGGCGACCATTCATTCTGAAGAGCAGGAACCTCACAGGGCCCAGCCCACCCCACCCATAAGGGTTGGGAGACAGGGATTCTGCTGAGGTTTGCAGCTTGAGCTGTCCCCCATGTCCCTTACAGGAGCGTCAAGAAACACAAGCAAGAAGTCATGGTCTGAGGTGGTATCCACAAATCACACAGCAGAGGAGGCCCAGGAGTCAAGGTAAGGGGCGTGCACTGAGTGTGCACCTATGGCTTCATCCAACCAGGGACAGAGGGGAATCCTTTTGCCCAGGTTTCACAATCCCTGCTGAGTGCTCTAGACACTTCTCTGAGGTAAGCTGCAGCCTGAGGAGCAGTCTCACTTCATGACCCAGTTCTTGGGAACACAGTCTCTAGTCAGGACTCTGAGAGCATCAAGTAAAGAGAAGTCCAATAATGGGTCTTTCTGGGAACTCACAAGTATTCTATTGTCGTACAAGAACGCTCACAGTCTTCCTCTCTCCTCCAGGTATCTGAATCCTCAACACCAAGTGCTTGCTGTCCCCAAGGATCCTTGGCACATCTTCCTGGTCAGAAGACATAGCCCAGCCAGCTTGGGCGAGACCACATTGTCCAAAGAGGGGCACGGGGCCTGGTAGGTGTGCAGGTGTGGAAGGCTGTCAGAGAGCAAAAAGGATTCACTGCTTCCTCTGGCTCCTCCTCCTCCAATACCAAAATCCCTACTACATCAAGTGAAGTGTGTTGGGCGTGGATACCAAGTTCTCCCCAGAATCCTCAGGGTGTCTGCTCTCCCTACAGCCATGGCCTCCAGTCAGAGGAACCAATCCAGTGAGCACTGCATCCCTCAGGAGGAGGATCTATGGACCTCCCCAGACATAGCTGTCCTTCAGTTGCTGTGCTCTCTGTACCAAGATAAGAAGCTAATTAAACTGGTGCCAATCCTGTTCCGCAAGTTTCAAAACAAGAAGTCTATCACCAAGTGGGAAATGCAGAATAATATAGAACCCCGTCACCGCAGGGACTTCTCCCCATTATTCAAGGCAATCTGTGAGTGCATGTGCCTGGCCTTTGGCATTGACATGTGGGAAGTGGATCCAACTAGGAAAAAATATGTCCTTATGCCCATCTTAGGCCTCACTTATAATGGGATACTGGGTGATGATTTGCAGAGCATTTCCAAAATCAACCTCCTTGTAGTCATCCTCATCGTCATCTTCTGGAAGGGAAACCGTATCAGTGAGGTGGATTTAAGGGAATTCCTTAGAAGAAGGGAAATGTTACCTGAGAGGAAGCGCTTTGTTATTGGGGATCCCTGGGAATTCATCAAAAAGGATTTGGTACAGCTACAGTACCTGGAGTATAGGCAGGTGCCCCATAGCGATCCTGCTCAGTACGAGTTCCTGTGGGGTCCAAGGACCCATGCTGAAACCAGCAAGATGAAAGTCCTAGAGCATTTGGCCAAGGTAAACAGTCGCGATCCCAGGTCCTACACACATCTCTATGCCGAGGCTTTGAGAGAGGAGCAAGAGGCTGCCCATTCCTGTGCTATGGGCCAGTGAAGGGGCAAGGTGCCAGGTAGCGACAGGGAGTGCCCCTCATCACATTGCTGTCTTAGTTCCCACCCCGTGTGAAATGAGTCCCATTCTTCAGTTTGTGTTTCTAGATATCACACTTTTCTAAGTACTTGAGAGCCAGGTGAGAAATAAAATGCCATGCACATCACCTCTGTCTGTACCATATGGATTACTCTGAAATGGAGATGTGCATTTCTTATGGCATTTGAAATCTTGCTCCTTTTCTGTAAGTTTGGCCCAGCTTGCCCATGCTATTTGAGTGATGGTAGTGATCGCATGTGTATTTTCACTTTTGTGATTTTGAAGATTGATTGTGGTTTCGGATGTGAATGTGATTTTGTGTGGTATTGATCATACAGGAATTTTGCTCTTTTTTCCAAATGTAAGAGTCTGCTGTTTCATCAAACCAACTTGGAAAGCTTTAGTTTTATTTTGAGGAAGATTCCACAGATTTAGGCAAGAATTTCCTTGGAAATGTGAAAGAAGTTTACATCAAGTTGAACGGAGTGGAGGAATAGACATCAGGATAAAAATCCTTAGTCTCTTATTTCCTTTTATATGTTGTCCTATACTGTAAAAATATCTGAATAACTGAGTATGCTTGGTTTCTTTAATTATACGAGAGAAATGTACTGTCAATAAAGAATCCTTTCTTCTCATGGGCACATTGATTCTCAGTCTTTATTGCATGTGTGATCTTTGGAAGCCCTTGTGTCTGTGGTGAGGTGTGATTACACCAGACTCAGAAGCATCAAGCCTGCCCAGGGAGATGATGGAGTCCAGGAGTACCACCAAAGGTGGGAGATGGAGACCAGGCCTCCAGGACCTAAGGAGAATGAAAATGCTCACTGAGTCGGGGGGAATCTATCAGAGAAGCCCTGGATGAGTACTGAGCCCTGGCAGTTTGTG